CGTATCGATACGCCGAGAGAGCCGGATAGCCGCCGGTGGCGGCGAACAGTTTGCCATAACCCGCGACCGCGTTTTGCACTTGCGCGGCCGCCGCTGCGGCAGCGGCCGCCTGTACTTGTGCCGCTTGTGCCTGCGCGGCTACCAACTGCGAGGCCGCCGCCGCAACCGGCAGCGGCGGTTGCGGCGCGATTCGCACGCCCAGAGCGCCTAGCACTACCCGCTTGCCGAGGGCGAGCGCGCCCGGCTGCACCGCCTCCTTCGGCTGCGCCTTCTTGCACTCGACTTTCTTGTTCTTGATCGTGTGGAAGTGTATCTCGCATACGCGGTCCACCACGTCCTCGTTCTCGAAGGTGACGAAGCCGAAGCCGCGATGGCGTTTCGTTTGTTGATCCATCAGCATCACCGTCTCCTCCACCTTACCGAATTGATTGAAGTAGGCCTTGACCTCGTCGCTGCTCGTGTCCTGACTGACACCGCCCACGAAGATCTTCTTGGTGCGATTGGCCTGTTTCGCGCGATTCTTCGGCGTCGCGTGCTTCGGATCGATCTTCTTGCCATCCAGGGTGTGGATGGGACACTTGAGGACTTTGTCGACGCTGCCGGGCTCGGCGAACGTGATGAAGCCGAAACCGCGGCTACGCTGTAACCGAACAAGCCGAGAACCGGCACGATGCACAAGGACCGTCTATTGCGTGCCTCCCTCTTTTGTTGCGACTGTTTCTCGCTCTCACGATCAAACGCTCCGACATCCGATTGATTTTGCTCGAGGGATACCGTGTTTATTCGCCTTCGCTTGGTTATCGCAAGACCGCTATAGATGTTTGGGACTAATTTTCATGATCATGAGAACTTTTTACGACTAAACGCGTTAGAACAAAATTGATAATTTGTCCGTTACTACAAGAAAAATATCGCATAATTTTCTGCGAGTTTACTGTACATTCGTTCCCTTCTAACTTATTCGAATGGTCACCAAAACTGATTCGTTCGTTTTCTCCTAACGTAGCGGGTACGTAGCTCCGATCATAAGAAGAACGCTTTGTGATTGCAAAATTATCCTAATCTTTCTGATAATCCTGTCGTTGATGATCTCTCGTAATTTTTGTTATAAACGGTTAACTAGTGCTACCAAAACTACCATTTGCATGCAAGACTGTCCAAGCCAATGTTTAAGACAAACATTCTAATGTTACGTGAAACAAAGACTGCGAATAAGACTCAAATCCATTACGAACGTTAAGGAGCTACTGATATATATGTATACGTCTTACGTCTGTCCCCACCCACTCTCGTTCGCGAAATCTCCGATATTACACCCGCATTCGACATTTACCGCCTGCAAAAATCCGCACAAAATAAAAAAAAAAAAAAAAAAAATATCAAAAACTGCTGCCTCTCCCACCTTCTTGTAATATAATGCGATTAATGCGATTAATAATACCTAATACAATCTACTTCTCTTGATACTTTATCAGCAATTAATTACACCGATTAGTACAACTTTTCATCTACTACGGTCTACTACGGTATATAGTTTCGTGCAAAAGTGGAAGGAGAGATTGCTTGGTGCATCGAATCCTGTCGAGGTAAACTCCTTTTTCTCGCGGCATCCTCGCGGCCCGACCCCACGCGATGCACGAGGGTTTCGGGGTCGGGCCGAAAACCGTTACCGGCAAACAAACTTACGCGGCATGAACGCGATTTGGAAACGCGTGGGCAATATAACGAAGCTGTTCTCATCGTAAATTAAATAATTCAAGTTTAATCAATACGATGGCAACGTTTCTATTTTCAGCATCGAAATAGAAAATATCCATGAGTATTAGTCTCGTGTACAAATCGTACACGTCCGAGGCATTTAAAAACGAATAAATTCCGAAATAATGCTTCTAAATATATTAATAAAAAAAAAATTAGAAGGGTTTAACTTTGAAACATTATCGAAACATAATACAACGATAAAAATACGTGTGATACAGGTACAGGTGGATTTGGCAATCGGTGAATTAAATGACACACATGAGAGCAGCCTCGCATTATAATAAATAATAACCGTAATTGATCGAGTGAGCAAGTTGTGAGTTATGCTCAGGTGGACCGACCTGCGTCATTGGATCCTTCATGATGAGAACGTCGGTGACGGTGCCGAACATGTTGAAATATTCTCGCAGCTTCTCGCTGCTGGTCTGCCAGGAGAGACCGCCCACGAAGAGTTTGCCCGGCGCCGGGTCGCCGCCGTTCGGCGTACTCCTGCCGGAGCTGCCCGAATGGCTACCGTTTATCGGCACCAACGTGCTGTGGAAGTCGTGCTCGATCGCGCCGTTTGTCGCCTCCATGCCGGCGCTGCGAACAATCAAAGATAAATCGATCGGTTAGACCACTTGCGGCCAAAGCGAATGTCCACGTGTCATTCCGGCTCGTGCTCGCGATCTACATGTGAAATCAAAGACATCACGATCTCGCGAAAGTTTCATTTATTATAAAACGCACTAATCTAATTCGTACAGCGAAGCTTGAAAATTTTATACGTATATATTTTTTTCCATTTTGCAATATAAACGAGGATTTGCATTTTTGATCACTTAAAAGCATTTGCTTGCATTAATAATTCGATACGAGCAAACGTGTGCCACGCGTGAGCGAATGAAATTATGGATCCTGTTATGTAACAGCTGTGACAGATTTCTACTTATCACATTCTGCAGCCATTTCCGTTCCGGAAAAGCGTTCATGCGGATGGCGATAAACATCTCGCGAGTATCGACAGTTTTATTAAGAGTTCGTGCCCGTATATATATTTTTTTTTTGGTTTCAGTTGATACCGCTCGTCTGCGTGCAAACTTGCGTGCTGCTCGCCCTACCCTTGATGATCTACCATAGATTGTTCGTTACCACGATTGACGTTCAGTAAGTAAGCGGGTTCTACGCTCTTCCGTAGAATGAAACGCACACTCTCTCTCTCGCGCGTGCGACAAGATGTAAAAATAATATATCATTTCGCAAAACGATCGCGTCAGCAAACCTGGAACTTGGACGGAAAATAGCGCGGCCCGTCTATTCCTGTAAGCAATCTACATTCTATGTATAACGCCCGATGTGTTAAGGTCACTATGTCTGCCGAGAGCTAACGACCTTGGCACTGCCACGTTTTACGTCCACTTACGAGAAACTTTTACTTATGCCGTGTAATGTCAGGCGATCGCCCGTCCGTTAAAAAAAATATGCGAGCGTTTTTATCGAGGGACTAAAGAGTAAAAAGGGAACGATAACGTTTCTCGTTTAGCGTTTCCGCGCGTTAGCAATTTTTTCGCATTCGTCAGAATTTACGTAGATCGCAAAAACTATACACGTGAAAAAGATATAGTTTTTCAGATAAATAAATAATATTGTCGTCTTTTAGGCTGACCGATTATCAGAGATTCGAAATTCCGTCCAAACCGAGATTTATTGATTTGCGAAATCCTCGTTCTCTGAAGGTAAGTCGAATGCACATTTGCGAATGCACATTTTTAGCAGTCAATTTTCATATTTTTCATAAAATTTATTTTTTGCAAAATAAGTCACTCAATGGTGCTTCCATTTCGCCCAAGCTGCGGAATAATCGATAATCTCGTGAGAAAAGAAAAACAATATATCAGTCCGTCCCACCTCTCACAATATCCATAAATCTCCGACCGGTCGTTGTTGCTATCGAGAACGTATTTGCATTTAATACTTGGAGACACGGATAAGCGCCAATATCTGATTAATTATTACGGTCGATATAGAACATTCAGTTAAAGCAATTAATTAAAAGCAATATAAATAAGTGACACGTAACCCGTCACTCGTGCGTATTTCCAAACGAGATCAGTTCTGACAGCGATACCATTATACCCTAATCCCGATTAATTATTTTTACAATTATATCGATTTATCGCCTATCGTTGTCTTGCCTACGTTCGTTTATATTTGGCGTCGCTAAATAATTCATGTTACGGCTGCGTTTCACAAACACCGTATTTATCGCATTTAAAACGCCTGTGTTTTACTCCGAGACTTTTCGGTCGACTAATAAGTTACGAGATCGTTCCATCTCGGTCTCAATTTCGCATTCGCAATTTCATTCTCGCGCAAAGTCTAGAAAGAAACGTCTTGATCCGTCGCGATGGAGGAATTTTCGAACGGCTTTTGTCCTTCGTTTACGTCGTGGCAACGATGAGTGTCGCATCGAGGATTCGCCGCCGCAAAGTAAGACGCGGCTCGCGGATATTCCGCGCGCGTTTTACGCGCGTCGGATATGTTCCTCCCTCTCGGTCAGAGAGGTATCTCATATATCGCGGGGGTAACAAACCAATATCTCGCTTACGAGCGGTATAATCCCTCCCCCCCCTCCGTCTCTCTCGCATGTGACTCGAGAGATACGTACGAAACTAAGAGAAACTATGGTCGTTCCGTCGTCTACCGTATATCTAACCGGAGATATACCGTCGCGATGCCTTTTCCCTCAGGATCCAGCGTCGTAACGCGTCGTACATTCACCGCCAGCACCGGCGGCGTTGCGGCCGTACGGTGGGCGCGCGGAGGAGAGGGTAAAGGGAGAGGCGGACGGGAGAGGCGAGAGTGGCGAGTGAACGGGACGACGGGGTGCGCCGTGTAGCAGCGGGGCGAACGGTGGAGAAGCCACGGGGGTTGCGCGTTAGCCCGGTTCGGATATATCGCCGCGAGCAGCATGGTCGACATGCGCGCGATGAAGGGCGCGCGCGGGGGTGTAGGACGGCGGGACGGATAGTCATGCAAGGGGTTGGGAGCGGGATAGAGAGCGCGGCGAGGATGGAGCGGAAGGTCCGGGCGAGCGAGAGAAGAGAGGAGAAAGAGCCAGGAGGGTCGAAGTGAAACGAGCGAGTCGTTTGGGGTTGGGAGTGGCGGCGGCGACGGTGGCGTGACGAGGGTGGCGCGGGGAGGGAAGAGGGGAGGGGGCGAGCGGGAGTTCGCCCGTTGTGGGGCACGACGCCGGCGAGAACGCGCAGCCGGTGGATCAATACACCCCTCCGCGGCGTTCTTCTCGCCGTGTGCGGCTCGCACCACCGCCACGGCTCTCTCGGCGTCCGCTCGCTCGGTCATGTCGGCTTCGGCCTCTCGCGCGATCTCCTTTCTCTACCGTGGAAACCACCGCGCGATCGGCGCGCAGAAAACGTCTTACGACGCCGCTGCCGATTCCTCCTCTTCGTCTCCTCTCCTCTCCATTTCCACTCTCCCGCCGTACGCTTTCTCCAACGGGGCGTCGTGATTATTAAACTCTTCCTTTTTCTTCTTTACCCTTCTTGCCTCTTCGCTTTACTCCGAAACGATCTTACGTCTCTCTTCCATGTTTCCAGAGACGTTTATTGCCGTCGGTATCGGAAAATTCTCCCAGACGATTTTTTACGCGAGCAAGAAAAAATCTGTAGGGAAGATGCAGGTCGGAAAGAGATGAGCTGAGACGCGATATATCATTTGAGCATTCTTCAAGATTTACCGCGTCAAATAACGCGTTTCTCAATATTCCAAGCATCGTTTCTTGAAATCAAAATCTTTCTGGCGTGGCGATATTTTCGGATCATCCATCCATTTTCATTTACAGTGGGAAAATAGATCGATGAAATAGCTGCCGTACCTTCATTTGTCTGTACGCAGACATAGAATCATGGTGCAGAAATACTCTCGACGAGATACTGATGAGATTAAAGTTTTGAAATAAAAAGCTCCTGAGTCGTAATCAAATTCACGGTATCGCTTCCATCAACAAACGAGCCGTTTCAAGTCTTTGAATTTTTCCGATTTTCAAATTACAGTTCAGGATGATACGTCTATTTATCTTTGTCTCTTCACACGTCACCTCATTATTCGTTCGCGCGAATCTAAAATTGTGTGCAAAATAATTCCGCGCGTTACAAATTTAATTTTCTTGTTGAAACGTGCGCTTTGCGGTTATCGAGCTATCGCTGCGAAATCGAAATATCCTCGCGTAAACTGAGATTAAAAAAAAAAGGTCGTTTGACGTGGTTCAAGTGGACGATTGAACAATCGGCCGGCGTGATACGGCGTATCAGCTGTTTAATCGAGCCGCGTCATCATCAGAAGAATATCTATCGAAAAATACGTCAGCCTCATGGCAATATAAATGGTGACCCGTAAAAAATTAATGGAGTTGATCAAACGCGCATTATCAAATTCACGAATGTCCATAACGCAATGAGCCAAGCATCCTCTTCCTCTGATGACCTCGATAATCTTATATTACAACGAGGATGGGATGTAAGGTGAAAAAGAAGAGAGGAAGAGACAAGGAAAAAGACAAGAGAGAAAGAGAGAGAGAGAGAGAGAGAGAAGAGAGAGAAAGGATAACGAAGGAGAAGAAGAGAAGTAATGACAGAGGAGATGAGAAAGAAGAGAAGAGATAGGAAGGGACTTAATAGGATGGTGGAGGGATGGCAACCGGCGTAGTGAGATCGTATGTAGTTTTAGTATTTTCAGTATCGCTAGACATCCCTAGTACCTAGCAGCAGTCTCCGCGTCCACCCCCAGCAACGTCGAGGGATCGTACTCGGTCCCCCTCTCGCGCCCATGCTACTCTTCCGCGCCCTGTGAACCCCCTATATCCCTTCCTATCGCGTATACGCACACAGAAACACACACGCGCGAGCGCTTTCTCTTCCTCTCGCGCATGCGTACGTATGTACGTACGTACACGAGACCGGAGGATCATGTCGAAGACGAAGAGGGTGAGTTTCCCTCGCGGTGGGGAAGGCTCGAAGGTAGAAGAGCTCCAGTGTTAGTGGGGGGAGCCGGGTGGGTGGTCGAGGAGAGGGTGCGGAGGCGCCGCCGCCACCGAGCGACGCAGTGCCGTCGGGACGCTCGACCGAATGATACGGCCTTCGCAAAGGAGTATTTTTCGCCGGCCGCCATATCTCGCTCGGCAATCCGCTCGACTGCCGCACCGAGAAGCAGCCAGGAAGAGAGAAGAGAGAGAGAGAGAGAGAGAGAGAGAAGGAGAGAGATAGAAAGAGGTAGAGAAAGGGAACACCGAGAAGAGTACCTAACCCTGAGAAAGGGAAGGAAGACATCGAAGAGAAGTCAACTCACCGGCCGGGGATATTGTCCTGTCACAGCAGTACGCCTTTAAAGAGTTACTGGTGTGATGGGACATTGTCCTCGTCCTGGTGATCTACTTCCGACGTCTGCGTCGTCGTCGTCGTCATCGTCGTTATTGTCGTCGTCGTCGTCGTCGTCATCGTCAAGACTCGCTGAGATATGCGAGATGTGGAAAGTGTATCCTCAGTTCGAAGTCAGATTGGTGCCGCGCGCTTTCGCTAAACGTTTCTCGCGATTGGAAGGGAGGACGGAGGGTGAAAAAGTCCAGTGGGGATGATAAGGGATTTTACAAACGTTTGCCATCCGAAACGTCGATGGATTTTTGCGAGAGGAAACAATGAGGAAACGCCCGAACGCCAACCTCGACTGTTGTGCCACGTCGATCGGACATTCTGAAGAGGATTGAAAGAGACGTCGGGGTCTAGCTTTCGTAAATCATCGTCGTTTTCGATGCTCATCAGCGAATGAATACACCATGGTACAGAGATGGTGTGTTTCCAGTCGATAAGGCAGCTTCCGAAAGGCGCGGCTGTTTGCCACTCTGGTCGATTCAAGGACTCGTTCTCATCACCTTCTTCAATCGTCAACAGTTCTCTTTCCCTCTTTTTCCGACATAATAAATACGTGGTTATCTTGAGAGACGGCTGAAATTGTTTTCGTGCGAATGATCCGTCTCGCGGGAAGATCGTTCCGACTGATAAGGATCACGAAATCATGGGGAACGACAGAGGCGTCCCGTTATCGGGACGCATCTACGTTATGCCTATAGCCCGCAAAATGGCCGGAGCGCGTCCGTGGATATTCCTGCGCGTTATCGTCGCGCAGTGACCTCTCGTCGAAGAATAACATCGCGTGTCGCTCGCATTATGATCCGGAAAACGCGGATCCGCAGCGGCCGGTCGCCGCCCGGATGCGTACCGGAAATTCTCTCCGTCCGTCATCGATCGCGCGAACGCGATGGGTAAACCCGATCGAAAGTCGGAACTGGAAGAAGGTCGTAGGTTGTAACATAGTTTCGGTGGAGGTCGGATGTGTCTACTCGTCACTCATGCGAGATCGATACTCGAATAAGGCAGAGGATTCGCGGTGGGCACGTTTCATTCCGACTGGATGGATTCGCGCGAAACCGCCGAGGAATTACCTGAAACATAATTGTCGAAAACGAAATTGCAGAAAAACGTAATAATGAAAATCCGGGAATGTACCGGGAGATCCATTTTCGCAATTGTTATGTGATATTTCGATATACTCCTTGTGCCTCGATTTTTCTCGCTACTGGATATAATTAAAAGACGATAGCTCCGATGGCTCCGTTTGCTATCGATATCTTTCTTCTTCTATTAATTCCGCGCCTATAATAAAC